GAGGGACGGGGAAGTGATGGAGGGATGGAGGGAGGGACAGAGGGACAGAGGGATGGAGGAATGGATGGCCTGACGGAAGGAGGGATGGAGGGACGGGAGGGCGGAAGGAGGGATGGAGGGACGGAGGGACGGAGAGGCGGAGGGGTGGAGAGACGGATGGAGGGAGGGATGAACAGAGTGACGGACGGAGGGACGGAGGGAGGGAGGGAGGGAGGAGGACAGAGGGAGGGAGGAGGACAGAGGGACGGACACAGGAGGGAGGGAGGGAGGGAGGGAGGGAGGGACGGACGGACGGACGGATGGATGCCGGGACCGATGGATGGATGGATGGATGTGCCACAGCACCACAGTCACTTTACAGTGGCACCTAAATATTCCTCACGTGGACATGTATCATCAATCTTTATTCATTGCACTTTTTTCGTTTCCTTTTTGTTTGTTATTTGAAAAAAAAAAAAAAAAAAAGCACCAGTACCTCCAGGCCTCTTTTCCCCGGTGCACTTGCACCGTGTGCCTGTGGCATGCTGAGGCCTGTACACGGGCCCTTTTTCTTAGGGCCCTACGGTTGTTAGGGGCCCCCAGGCTGCACGCCATTTTTTGGCTGTGCAACCTGGACGCCCGCGGCCATTTCCAGGCCAGGCACGTTTTCCTGCCTCATGCAGGTTCTTTTTTTGATTCAGCATTAATCGATTGAATCTATTCCCTTATTTATCTTTTTGCTGAGTCTTGCTGTCTTTTTTATATTCAGCTGAATTTCAGCATTTATTTATTCCCTTATTTATCTTTTTGCTGAGTCTTGCTGTCTTTTTTTCATTCAGCATTTATTTATTTATTTATTTATTTATTTATCTTTTTTGCTGAGTCTTGCTGTCTTTTTTTGATTCAGCATTTATTTATTTATTTATTTGCTGAGTCTTGCTGTCTGGTCCATTTTTGTTGGTTCCAGGTGTGTCATCCCAGACTTTGCCCTAATAGGTAGGGCCTGCTTTAGCAGCAGGATACCACCAGGAGGAGGATTTGGGCCTGCATTGAGGGCCTTCGATCGGATCTTAGATCTGACGTTCCTGGATGCAGACCGTGGACTGCCCAGCAAGGCCCAACACTATATCTAGTGGGAGGGCAGTCCAGTTCGGCAGATTTCAGTTGGGCAACATTGTGAGCATCACGCTGTTGGATCAGCATGCGACTCTGGAGTGCTGCGCTAGAGGTAGAGGTAGAGGAGTAGGAGGGGTAGTGGGAGAGCGGAGGCTGGAGAGCCATATCCGCCGGCTGGAGGACGACTTACCTGGGCGCCATAGCTTGGACTGCACTTCAGCGACCTGCATCAGAGAGCGCCATTCCACCAGTCAGTGTCGGCAGGACTTCAGCAGCCGCAGGTGAGGGAGAGACAGAGGAGACTTCGCGTTTTCTTCTTCTTCTTCTTCTTCTTCTTCTTCTTCTTCTTCTTCTTCTTCTTCTTCAGAGAGAGAAAGGTTACAGGCAGAGCTATTATGGGCTATGGGGCCCAGGATTTGATTCGACATTCTTGGGGCAGAGATTGGTTGGACACTGGACAGGGCGACTATTTCTTTTGACAGCAGTGTATTCGACTCTGGTCTAATCCTTCGCCTCCATCTTTGTCTCGCTCCTTTCTCTCCCATCATGTGGTATATGTGCGTGCTCAAGGGGGGACCTTTTTCTCTGTGTATGCGGCCTCCCTTCTCTCTCACATGTGTGATGATGATGGTATGAGTCAGGTCTGTCCATTGAGTCAGGTGGTATGTTTGAGTCTTCTGCTGTGCTACATTGTATCATATTTTTTATGATTGTATGGATACACATTGTCTCTCTCATGTCATCATGTATGCCATCGATGTCATCGTGTATGTCTGAGTCTTTATCATCACCTCACTGGTCCTTTTGCTCCTTTGTGTTGCTTACCTTGTCTATGAGCATGCATCAGTGCCAAAAAAGAACGAACTTCCAATTGCTCGCTTTCTTTCTTTTTTGGCTGGCACCACCAGCCATTTTTGTCCGGCAGCGCCAGCCATTTTTGTCCAGTAGCGCTTTTCGTCCGAAGAACCTGGGCTGATTCAGGTGCCAGCCATTTTTGTCCGGCAGCGCCAGCCATTTTTGTCCAGTAGCGCTTTTCGTCCGAAGAACCTGGGCTGATGCAATTTTGGTGCTCAAGTTTGGCTGGGCAAGGAAGGTACTGATGATATACTCCTTGTCCATGATGCTGATCCTTGTCTAGCCACTACAGATCACATGCCTGAGGGACCGACCTACTAGGAAAGAGATTTCGATTGAACTCCTGCATGTGGATGTGTTTATGGAGAGGTGCAGACAATCACGATTGCTCTGTTATTCTGCACCTCTGCCGAAAACAAGTCCAGATTCAGGCGCTTTGCTAGTGGAGTTGGCCCCTGGTGGACCGTACGTACCATATTTGCCGCCTGAAGGGATTACCCTCAGCAGAGAAAAGTAAATGCAGAAAGTCTGAAAAAAAGAAGAATGAAAAAAACTCCTGAAAAAGAGGAGCACCAATAAAGAAAGAAAGAAAGAAAAAAAAAAAAAAAAAAAAAAAAAAACCCCCAAAAAAAAGGAGCAAAAAAAAAAAAAAAAAAAAAAAAAAAAAAAAAAAAAAAAAAAAAAAAAAAAAAAAAAAGGAGCCCCTCGGGGCTGACGGAACTTCAGATGTGACTCTCATATGGGCTTTTTCTTTTTTTGAAAGACATATGGCCTTTTTTTTCAATATGAGCTTTTTTTTTTTTTTTCCTGAAAGCGGGATGGCCCTGAAAAAAAAAGAAAAAAGAAAACGATATCGTCATTGAGCTGACTCGCCCCAATAATTCATAATTATTTTTTTATTCTGTCGAATCTAGTCATCTGATTGCATGTGGATTCGAACTCCGGTCTGTAATTCCACAATTCATCGGTGTTACGTCGTACCAACCGAGCTAGGCACGTCGGTTGAGCTTTTTTTCCTTTGGCCAGAAAGCCACCTTCAATACAGTCCTGATGTATATATATTATATATGGACCTCTGGTGCTCTCTTTCTTCTTTCCTTCTTTTCTTTTTTTTTATAGATTTTTAAATCATTTTTTATATTTTTTATGCATTTCGTTATGCATTGTTGGGGCAGGTTTGTAGTTATCATGGGACTGACGTCAGGGCAGACTCCGGAGCGGATTTGAAGGCAGACTCCAGAACGGATTTCAGGGCCGAGTCCGGAGTTGATTTCGGGGCGCTGCACGAGGTGGGCGGCGGTGATGGCGCTGTGATCACCATTGTGAGTTGGCTTCAGCCTCCTGATGCGTCTGTGAAACTCCGACGGATTGCAGCCACTCGGTTATTCTCCTCTTCTTCTCTCCATGCCTACTGGTCACCAGGCACTTCTCTATGACTACATATATATATACCTGATGAGTCGGTGAAACTCCGACGAAACAGTTTGTCACAGCCCCTCGTTTGTTGTCCTCTTCTCCCTCTCTGCCTACGGTTTACCGGGCAGTTCTATTTGTGACGATATATATATACGCACACGTATGTCATGTACGCACACGTATGTCATGCGTGATGAGAGACATACGAGCAGCAGCTGAGCTGCAGGCTGAACCAGCACAGCGGCTGAGTAGTCGAGGGTTACGTATATACATTACATTAAATTAAATTAAATTAAATTAATTTAAATTGAAGTTCTCAATTGGATGTTATCGGTCGATCTGGGACCTGAGCATCTGGCCCGATGTTCGAGCCCGGAAATCTGGAGTCAAAGTTCGTTCCCCCTCACCCCGCCGGCCCCAAAAGTTTTTTTTTTCTCTTTTTCCAGATCTTTTATTTGGAAATTTTGCTCATGCCAAATGGCAGAGATTTCTGCTGCAAAACGTGTTGAAGGGAAAAAAAAAAAAAAAAAAAAAAAACGTGTTGAAGGGTCAAGGGGGTTGTAAGGAGAGCATACAAGGCCCTAACAGGGTTACTCTAATTGATGATTACTAGGGTGTTTTTTTTTGTTTTTTTTTTTGTTTTTTTTTTTGTTTTTTTTTTGGTTCTATTGAGAGCTTGGTCGTTTCGTATTGGAATGATCTGCAACATATATTTGTTTCAGATTTTTTTTTTTTTTTTAGACTTTCTTAGAAATTTGCGATTTTGCAACAGGCCGAACACAATCCATCCTTCCTTCGACACGGATGTCCATATGCACATCTCGCACAGCTAGGAGGGGCCCGGACGTCTGGGATGATGGCGTAATTACTAATTATATGAAATAAAAATTGGGAAGAAAAAGATTGGCAGGGGCGCTGTTGTCAGTCAAGAGCCGCATCGTCGTTGTTAATCAAGTGTGACCAACCCGTCACTGCTTATCAGTGAGCGAAGGAGTGGCTCACACATAGCACACACATAGCACACACATAGCACACACATAGCACACACATAGCACAAGCCTTGCAGAAAATCACCTCGTCCCCACCGCGGGACCTTTCGGGGCCGGGGCGTGGCTGATAAATTTCATCAATGGCCTTCGTCGCATTCCTGGCCTCCAAAAGTCGCGATGAGGGGTCTGCGGCCGATGTATGGCCGTGTAGTGGTGGTTTAATACACGCATAGCACACACTTGGCTTTGCGTGAGTCGCATGGAGCCATGGTACAGTTTTGAGCTATACATAGAAGCATAATTTGCTATAGTGGGGATGGCGGGACCGGTACATACCATGCACATAGTACACACACAGCAAATACATAGCACATACATAGCACATACATAGCACATACATAGCACATACATAGCACACACATAGCACATACATAGCACACACATAGCACACACATAGCAAAGACATATAGCACACACTTAGCCTCATGGGCACAGCCAATTGCAATGCAGAAAAGTTAAAAAAAAAAAAAAAAAAAAGTTGGGCGAAGAGTTGACCGGATTCAGTCCCGCAGAACACTGTGGTTATGGCAGGACAGGCACATAGCACTTTTTTTTTTTTTTTTTTTTTTTGAATACCACTCACTCAGGCATATTGACAAATGATACATCAATTATTTCTCAGCCTGCGGGTGAATTCGGTCTTGATTCTGTTTTTAGGGTTTTTGAGAGCATACTCACACCAGGACTTTTTCGACCGAGCGGTGGACATGGATAGAATTACGGTCAGATGCATCCGTCGGGATTTTTTCGACTGAGTGCTGGATTTGGATAGAACCGCAGTCGGATGCATTTAGGAAAGCGCCATTGTGAGTATCGCCCGAATTTTGGTTGATGGAAGCATGAGAGAGAAGAATTGCGAGTGGGGGACGGAAAGCAGTGTTTCAATTTTGTTTTTTCTGATAAAATGTAATGGAAAATTTTACAATTATTACTTCAGCGTGCTGTGCCCATCTCTCTCTCTCTCTCTCTCTCTCTCTCTCTCTCTCTCTCTCTCTCTCTCTCTCTCTCTCTCTCTCTCTCTCTCTCTCTCTCTCTCTCTCTCTCTCTCTCTCTCTCTCTCTCTCTCTCTCATGGGTCTCTGTGGCAATCAGTGGCATGAAAATTTTACTGAGTCGGTGCCCTCCCCTTTTTCCTTCTTCTTCTTCCTCTTTTTTTGTTCTTTTTTTTCTTTTTTTTAATGAACAGCCCGAGGCGGTGCTAGGGGTGCTGATAGGAGCAGACACCACTATCAGTTTCATGGAGGCTCCATGAGTGAGGTCTAGTATCCTCAAATGCTAATGGTTTAGTCAGGATTTTGTAGGGGACAGTGAGCAGAGAGATCCGCCCGTATGTTTAGATGTCCTCCGTGTCCCCCCTTCTTGTATAATAGAGTCACGACACTGCTCAACAATTCTCCCGTTCCTCCCTTTTCCCAACTGTCTTTGTAAAAGTGTGGAGATCCTTCCCCAGCATAGGCCGGAAGTTCTTCCAGAATTCTTTGGTGAGACCATGAATCCTTGGAGTTTTATCGTTGTTCATATGCTATGGACTCCAAATCTCAGTTCTTCTATGGTGATTGGTTTGTCTAGTACCGCAGCCTGCTCTATGGAGATAGTTTTGTCAAGGAACAGGAGATTCGCCTGCTCTATGGAGATAGTTTTGTCAAGGAACAGGAGATTCGCCTGCTCTATGGAGATAGTTTTGTCAAGGAACAAGAGATTCGCCTGCTCTATGGAGATAGTTTTGTCAAGGAACAGGATCATATGGATGAACGGCATACTTGTGCCCCACCCTGTGTGGCCCCGAACGCTGAGGGACTGGAACATGATCTGCTTGGACTGCATTTAATCCCACATGGCGCAGACCCCACAAGGGATTTGCAAATGGCTGACCAGGATCATATGGATGAACCGCATTCTTGTGCACCACCCTGCGCAGACCCCACGGGTGATCTACAAATAACTGACCAACCAAACCAGCCTGAGATCCCCGCCAATCTCTGTGGTCTGACTGCAACTAATAGCTGCATTTGCATTTTCAATCGGCCGTTGTATACACCATCAGATTTCCTTGCTATTACGCTACAGCCAGAGCATCGTAATTACACCAGGGAAGGAGGTTTTACCATTGCTGTCCTAGAAATAGCGATGAGGAACCGCCAGCTTGAACTACGCCATGTTCTACCAGGTGAGTTGTTTAATCCTCCATCCCACATCTCTGCCTGCATTGTGCACGGGCCTGGCCATTACATGGCTATTGTACACGCCTCTGACCATTGGGAGGTGTGGAACGACGGTGTCATGGTCCATGCCATGATTGATATTACTGATTTCTTACTCTATGATGTTGTTCTCTTGCCACATCAAACTGTCCGCAATCTCCTTTATGTSRAAGATCRTTCCTCTGCCACCGCAGTGCAGCAGTACAATGTACAGACACTGTGTGACCTTCTCCTTTGCACAGCCACAGACACTGTTGCACTTGGGTGTACTCGCCATCATCTTTGTCACAATCACTACCACGAGATGGTTTCTGCATCCATGTGTGTACAGGATTGTCCCTCCGTTCCTGACTGCAGGCACCCTCCTCATCCGGACACTATATGTCTATTTTGTGGCCACGGACGCTATGCTGAATGCATGCTCTTTTGTGGGGGGCGTTCTTCCTTTATTCTGGCCTGCAATAAACATGCTATTTGTCAGGAATGTATGGTTGGCATGCTTAATGCCAGCCGTCGTGGCAGTTGTTGTTTTGAGAATGCTCAGTTAGGTCTTCCATGCGCTCATCCACCCCATCCTTACAATGTGTGTCCTT